GCCTTGATGGTCTAGGCCCAATAAGGCAAGGATTAAGCACCCTTTTGTCCTTAAAGTCAGGATTTAGGGTTTGGACTCTCAGGTTGGATTATTGACCTAATTCCTAATTATGGTTTCATGCTAGTGATTTAGTGAGAGGATTTTGCGAGTCAGTAGCTCGAGTGTGATTTGATACCTTCGGTCAGAGGTGAGTTTCCTTTACTGTATCCGTGGGTCGAAGGAACTAATGTCGACCCACTAGATTATGTTGGTAGTATGATGATTATCTTCGTGACAATTACCTGTTATGTCTGTATATGTTTGATGTCTCCATGACTCTTATTATTATGATTATATGTGTTAGTGATAGGGGTGAAATAGACCCCATACTAATTAAAAGATACTGAAGGGGGTGAAATAGACCTAGTATCGGTTGAAAGATACCAAAATAGGTGAAATAGACCCACTACTGGTTGAAAGATACCGAAATAGGTGAAATAGACCCAATATGTTTTTTATGTTATATATGTATGGTATGGAGTATTTTGGGGAACTCACTAAGCTTTGTGCTTACAGATTTCAGTTTATGTTTCAGGTACTTCCAGCTCGAAAGGGAAGGGGTTGGCCTGATCGCACCGCATCCACCAACGTCTTTCCGCATCACGTGATTTTGGGAATTCGTACTCTGATATTTTTTTGAGTAAATTTCACGAATGGTCCCTATGGTTTAGGGTAATTTGCATGTTTGGTCCCTAACTTATTTTCTTAACTCGAAATGTCCATACTGTTTGTTTTTGTTACACGCTTGGTCCCTGTTGTTTGTTTTTGTTACGCGTGTGGTCTATGTCTTACCTAAAAAGACTATTATTTAATGTGGAAAAATAATGGGGTATGTAAAATAAGGTGAGGGGTGGGGTTTAGGGTGTGTTTATTTAAATAAATTAAAAAATCAAAGGCAAAATAGTGTTTTTAGAGAAGATAGGGACCAAGCGCGTAACAAAAACAAACGGTAGGGACCTTCCGAGTTAAGAAAATAAGTTAGGGACCAAACGTTCAAATTACCCTAAACCACAGGGACTATTTGTGTAATTTACTCCTTTTTTCAAATAATGAAGTATATAAAATTGATGAGCATGTAAGAAATATGATACAACCCTTTCTTTCTATTCCGCATTTTGTCAATATTTTACTATGATATTAATGGATTGTAAAATATTCAACGTGTCTCCCTTTTTCTCATTGATTAGAATATATATATATATATATATATATATATATATATATATATATATATATATATATATATATATATATATATATATATATACACACACACAAATATTACAGTTTAGTACCATGAGAATTACAAAATATATAATATACATTATAAAGTTTCATAGTCTAATATACCCCATAATTCTAAGGGGGAGGATTGCGGACACTTAGACTGGATCGAAAATCTTGAAAAAGTACTCGTGGTAAACCTTTGGTGAATATATCAACAAGTTGGTATCAAGACGGCACATGTAAAACCCTTATTTGGCCACGTTGTACCTTTTCTCTAACGAAGTGAATATCAATCTCAATGTGTTTAGTGCATTAATGTTGTATGGGGTTGACCAACATGTAAATCGCACTAACATTATCACAGTAAACTAAAGAAGTACGTATTGGAGAATGACCCAATTCGAGTAATAAATTACGTAACGAACATATTTCAGCAACTGCATTTGCAACACCTCTATATTCCGCCTCTGCACTCGATCGTGAGACTGTGGTTTGCCGTTTAGAAGACCATGATAGAAGTTTATCACCAAGAAAAACACGATATCCAGAAGTAGAGCGACGAGTGTCTGGACAACCAGCCCAATCAACATCTGTGTATGCTGTAAGAATAGATGGGTTGCTGCGATGCATGAGAAGACCCATAGATAGATTCCCCTTAATATACCTGAGAATGCATTAAGAGCATTCATGTGTGCTAGACGAGGAGCATGCATATGCATGCACATCTATTGTACTGCGTATGAGATATCGGGTCGAGTGAAAGTGAGGTATTGTAGGGCACCAGCCAAGCTCCGGTAAGTGGTTGGGTCATCTATCAAGTCTCATATAGAATGACTTAGTTTTCCTGCAGAGTCAACAAGTGTAGTAACTGAATTACAGTCTGTCATATTAGCACGACGGAGGATGTCTATGGCATATGTTTGTTGAGATAGGAATAGGCCTCCCGGATTTCTAGTGACAGCAATACCAAGAAAATAATACAAAGGCCCTAAATCCATCATGGCAAACTCGTGTGACAGGAAAGACATGAGATGTTGCTTTAATACCAGTGATGATGTGGTAAGAATGATATCATCCACATAGAGTAAAAGGTAAGCGATGTCGTGACCATTTCTATAAACAAACAATGAATGGTCGCATGAACTATGGTGAAATCCCAAAGTGGTGACATAATCTGTGAACCTTTGGTACCATGCCCGTGGTGCCTGTTTTAGACCGTACAATGATTTACTCAGTCTAAAAACATGATGAGGATAAGATGGATGACAGAAACCGGCAGGCTGATGCATATAAACCGTCTATGCCAGATGTTCATGTAATAAAGCATTCTTGACATCTAATTGATTAATCTCCTATCCGTGAAATAATGCAATACTAAGAATTAAGCGTATAGTTGGTGGTTTGACAACCGGGCTGAATGTCTCATCGCAATCGACCCCGACCTGTTGTGTTCTCCCATCACAGACTAGTCGCACTTTGTAGCGTTCAAGTGAACCATCTGAGTTGTTCTTGTGTTTATAAATCCACATGCAACGTATAACATTCATATGCGGCTCACGAGGTACTAATTCCCAAGTGTTATTGTCAATAAGAGCATTAAACTCATCAGTCATGGCACGATTCCAAATGGGTTTGTTAAGGGCCTCGGTTGGGTTACGAGGTAATGGTTCGAAGGTAGTAGAAGTGTGTAGGTTGAGGGGTTGTTTTGGTTTTGTGTTCCCAGTCATGCTACGGGTTGTCATAGTGCGAGTTGGTTGAGTAGGGGGTGCTGGTGTGGGAGAGGTAGTGACAGATGTCGAAGTGTGAGTGATGGGTGAAGGTTGTTGAGTTTCGGTGGGTTTTGGACGCCAACTATAAACATACTGAGGAGGAACGTCAGAGCGAGGAGGAGGAGGAGGAGGGGAGGAAGGTAATGGGGGTGGGGTAGAAGATGAAGGATGTGTAGTAGTGTGTTGGTTTGGAGGTAGAGGTGGTGGGGTAGTATTTTGATTCATAGAAACTGATTTCCATATGGCAGGATATAGGTAATCGGAAGAAGGAGTGGAGAAATTCATAAGATGGAGGGATGGAGTGACGAGTAGCAAAGGGAAAAACATGTTCATCAAAGACGACATGTCTTGAGATAATGATTTGCGTGTTGACAGTTCATAGCATTTGTATCCCCTATGATCAGAGGGGTAACCAAGGAAAACACACAGGGTGGATCGATTTTGAAGTTTGTGAATGGAAGTGGAAGGTAATAGGGGATAGCAGAGGCATCCAAAGGTTCTTAAGTAATGGTATGTTGGATTTTTGCGGTATAGCAAGTATGTAGGAGTGGAATGGTTTTTGGTTTTAGTAGGTAGAATATTTAGAAGATATATGGCCATCTGGAGTGCATGATGCCAAAAGGTGGGGGAAGAGAGGCATGCGTAAGTAAAGTCCGAATTATATTATTAATTGATCGAATTTTACGTTCAGCTTTACCATTTTGTGGTGAAGTGTGGGGGCATGAAAAACAGAAAACCATTCCGCTTTTAGTACAAAAATCATGAAAGGATTTATTATTGTACTCGGTTCCGTTATCACATTGAAACGATTTAATATCACGCTCAAATTGAGTCTTGATAAATTTGGAGAAATTTAGAAATGTGGAATAGACATGTGATTTATTACTTAATGGGAATGTCCAAAGATAGTTGGTATAATCATCAGGAAAAAGAGGTGATATCGATGACCTTCAGTGCTTTGCAACCTGGGAGGTCCATAAATCACTATGCAGTATGTCAAATTGCATTAAGGTGTAAGTCAAAGAACTATAGAAAGGAAAATTAATATGTTTACCAAACACACAAGATTGGCATAAATGTTTATCAGAAAATTTGCCAACAGAAATAAAGTTGTTCTTATTCAAAACACGCAATAATGATGAACTAGGATGCCCCAAGCGGCGATGCCATAAGTCTTGAGATAGGCCAGCAAAAGTGGAAGGAGGAGTGACTTGAGTAGATGGCGGTGATAAAGGATAGAGATCTCCAGTGTTGTTACATCGGAGGATAGGAGTCCACGTCTGAAAGTCCTTCACAAGAAAGCCAAAAGGGTCAAATTCAATGGATATATTGTTATCAGTGGTTAAACGATGAATAGACAAAAGGTTTTTGATTAGCTTAGGTGCGTGAAGAATATTTTTGATTTGTAAAGGTGGAAAGGGTGGTGGTAAGGTTGTGTGACCGGTGCCATGAATTGGGATTTGAAAACCATTGCCAACAACTATGTTGTTTTGTATACCATTATTGAAATAACGGGAAATGTTACCTGTATTGTTGGACATGTGATTTGTAGCCCCGGAGTCCAAATACCAATTCTGATCAGGATTGAGAGTCATGGTCTACATAGCCTGCTCGATGTTTGTTGGTGTATATGAGTCTGCATAACCAAAAGGTGGGCTGCCAAGAACACCTGCAAATGTGTTTCGGTTAGGGTGCTTGTTACCTGGTGTGGTAGGATATGGTGCAGAAGGGGTTTTCCACTATTGTTGTTGCCAAGTAGGATTCCAACCATTAGAGTTCCAACCATTCCAAGGAGTCTATGGATTAAAGTAATTACCCTGACCAAAACTTTTCCCATGTCCACGGCCACGTCCGCACCCACGTCTGCTTGAGTGGCCTCCACCGCGACCCTGTTGTCCACGGACTCCTGTGTGGTGTTGTTGTTGATCATAAGCAGACCTATCACGACTACCTGTGTTGTGTGAGATGGATTGTTGGGCTGCTACAGGAGCTTTTTCTGAGGCAGCAAGCAGTGCAGTAGAAGATGTGGCTGCAATGTGAGCTTTTCGGGTTTCTTCCAAAATAAGTTTGGACCTTGTTGTATGAAAATCAGACAGGGGAGAGGTTTGTTGCAAGTGTGTTGCTATGTTTTCATATTTTCACCAAGACCAACAATCAATTGTAGCACCAACCGATCCTTAGAAACCGGTGCATCAACATTTGAGAGTTGATCAGATAGAGTTTTTAAGTCTTGACAGTAGGCAGAAACATTGGGAAAAGATTCTAACCGGACATTAGAGAACCAGTTTTCCAAGTATAAGGCTCTTGAAGGCTTGCTATCAATGAATATATTCTCCAAGGCATTCCATGCCTGTTCAGCAGTAGAATCTGGCTTGAGAATGGTGATTAGTAAATCCTTAGAGATTGTATTGTGAATCCACTGTAGAACTAAAGAATCTAATCGTTTCCATGGAACTTTGTCATCCATCTTTTCTTTATCTTTATCACTTGATGATTTAGATGAAGATCCTTCAGCGAGAATGATGTGAATAATTACATCATGGGCGCGACATTGGATCTTGAAGAGCTCCACCCACGTTGTGTATTGCCCATCATCCTGGTCCAACACAATGGGAATGAAATTCTTGATGTTGGTAACTGTAAGAGCAGGATGTAGATTAGCCATTCGAGCGTTAGAGAAGAAGATAAATGAGGAGATAATGAAGATAAATCAGATGCAAAGAAAGCAAAATCAGGTTCTGATTGGAAGATGGAATGCTACTAATGAAGATAGAATCACAAGTGCTGAGAACGAAAAAAAATGAGAAGGGAATCGATGCTGTAAGTGGAGCCGTGACTTGAGTTTTCGGTTGCTAGGGTTGTTAGGGAGATCAGAGGTATCGCTCTGATACCATAATGGATTGTAAAATATTCAACGTGTCTCCCTTTTTCTCATTGACTAGAATATATATATATATATATATATATATATATATATATATATATATATATATATATATATATATATATATATATATATATATATATACTTATAAATGTTACAGTTTAGTACCATGAGAATTACAAAATATATAATATACATCATAAAGTTTCCTAGTCTAATAGATATGCTATTGACTGTTTTGATATGATTATTGTATAAATAGAATGAATTTAAAAATGAAAATTTTGTTTGAAAATTTACATGTGGAATTAAATCAAAGTAAGATAGTTTAAGGGACAAGAAAAATAAGGCAAGGATATTTTGGAAAAGTTATTTTTTAAAAATAATTTTTCTAAGGCTCATACTTTAATTTAATAAATTATAACAATAAAAAAATCATCTCCAAATTCAATGTAACGTTGTCCATCTTAATATTCTAACGAGTTTGTAAAAATAACTTTTCAAATATATTGTTATTAAAAGGTCACTTTTTTTCAAGGAATCCAAATATTTATAAAAACTGAAAGTTTAAAATTTGTATTCTCTAAAGTCAAAAGTACATAAATTTTTATATACACCGTATATTATGAAGTTTTAATAAGAAATTCTTAAAAAATGGAGCTATTTAGATATCATATTTTATTTTACAATAGTATAAGTTTTTAAAAAATAATGTTGCGATTCATATGATCTAAAATGAGATTATTTAACAAAAATGATTATAAGTGTTATGAGTTTATATGTTTAGATCCATTGATTTGTTATGATTCAAACATATTACGATTGTGATTTAAAATCATATGATTTAAAAAAAAATGTTATAATCCAAAATTCACGATAAAGCAAAAACTTGATTTTGTTGAAAATATTCCATAATTATACGATCTATTTGATCCAAAATTCTATAAACAATAATTTGTTTTGAACTAAAGTTTATATATATATATATATATATATATATATATATATATATATATATATATATATATATATATATATATGTTCAGATTTATTTGATACCATTATAATTTTGTGACACCGTGAGACCAAATCTAATAATAATTTTAAAATGCAAAATAAATGGAAAAATCAAAATTTTCTTTTTTTAAATATTATTTTCGGAGCTTGAATTAACTAAAAAAAAATTTTAAATAAAAAAAAAATCCCGTTTTTTTTTTTTTTTTGAAAAATACGTGAAATATTCTAAATAGAATATTACACTGACATATTCTAAAAAATAATTTTAAAATGCAAAATAAATAGAAAAATCTAAAAGTTCTTTTTTTAAATATTATTTTCGGAACTTGAATTAACTAAAAAAAATAAAAATAAAAATAAAAAAATTCTTTTTTTTTGAAAAATACGTGAAATATTCTAAATAGAATATTACATTGTACATATTCTAAAAATAATTTTAAAATGCAAAATAAATGGAAAAATAAAAGAATTTTTTTTTTAAATATTATTTTCGGAACTTGAATTAACTAAAACAAATTTAAAAAAATTTTAAAAAAAATAAAAAAAAAATAAAAAAATGCGTCTCACGGTCTCACAAAATTAAGCCGTCTCACATGAACCTAACCATATATATATATATATATATATATATATATATATATATATATATATATATATATATATATATATACATACATATATATATATATATATATATGAATATATTTAAAAAAAGAATTTTTTGATTTTTCCATTTATTTTGCATTTTAAAATTATTTTTAGAATATGTACAATGTAATATTCTATTTAGAATACTTCACGTATTTTTAAAAAAATAGAATTTTTTTTTATTTTTTTTTAATTTTTTTAGTTAATTCAAGTTCCGAAAATAATATTTTAAAAAAAAATTAGATTTTTCCATTTATTTTACATTTTAAAATTATTTTTTAGAATATGTCAGTGTAATATTCTATTTAGAATATTTCACATATTTTTCAAAAAAAAAAAAGGGATTTTTTATTTTTTAGTTTTTTTAGTTAATTTAAGTTCCGAAAATAATATTTAAAAAAAGAATTTTTGGATTTTTCCATTTATTTTGTATTTTAAAATTATTTTTAGATTTGGTCTCACGGTCTCACAAAATTAAAATGGTTTCAAATGAACCTGAACCTATATATATATATATATATATATATATATATATATATATATATATATATATATATATATATATAGAGAGAGAGAGAGAGAGAGATTGAAAGTGACGTGATTCAAAACGTTTATGAAGCTTAAATTATGATCTAAAAATATTTTATTTCAAAAAATTATTCTTATTAATCTTTTCAATATATATATATTCAAATGAGAACCACAAAAGATTAAGAACCCTAAGAACCGACATTTAATAAGTAATATGTATTGTGAATATTACTAAATATGTTAAAATCTTAATTTTTGTCTGTTTGTTAAGAAAATGGCAAAATCATATTTTTTTAGTCTAATATTTTCATTCATACCATTATTCTATATTTTTAACCCAAAATTTATGTAAAATACAAATTTATACAGTTGATTTACAGTATAATAGACAAAATTCACAACTTAATACTATCTATTTTACACTAATACACAAATTTAATGAAATCAAACCCAAACTCTACCACCACCATCATTAGCACACGCTGTCACCGACCACCTATGCCAATATTGCAACTATCTTTTATTGAAAATCAGATCTACATATATAGTCATGCAATGTGAGGGTAAATACTACATTCATAATTTAATAAACCTATTAATTCACTCATATTGAATTTAATACAAAACAATTAAAAAAAACTAATGCATTCTTACGTACTTATACAACACAAAAAATAAACATATTCTAACATTAATACAGAAGTTCATTCATAAATCATTTATATTTTAACACAAAATTTATAAAAAAAATCATTTAAAGTTGCAATCAGTTCACAAGTTAATATAACCAATTACCGTTTAATATATAAAATTCACAGCTTATTATATTAAATTAACAATTTGATACACTGAAATGTCATATTTTTAACTTAAAACTTACATTTACACTTTCAGATATCAGTTCACAGGTTAATATAATCAATTACCATTTAATAAATATAATTCACAACTTAATATAATTAATTCACAGTTTTAACAGAAAATTCATAGCTTAACGCAGTCAATTTAAAGTCTTATACACAAAAATCACAGTTTAATACACAAAATTAGGAGCTTAATATAGTCAATTCATAGTTTAAACAAAAAATTCACAACTTAATGTAGTTAATTCACAGTTGAAAACACAAAAATCATAGCTTAATACATAAAATTTACAAATTATTACAATAAATTCACAACTTAATAAACAAAAAGTATAAAATTCACAGTCATATTATCAACTTAAAACTCTTAATACAATCAATCATAAGTTTAATACATAAAATTCACAGATTAATACACAAAAACTATATATTCACATCCATATTATCAAATTAAAGTTTATATTTATACGTTTATATATGGAAGTATGTCTATGTATTAATTTGTGAATTTAATATAGCTTAAAATATAAAAATTTGCAATTTAATACAATATATATCAATAGCTCATTTACAAGTATAATACAGTTAATTCACTGTTTAATATCCAAAATTCACAGCTTAATATAACAAATTCACGGTTTAATACACAAAATTCACAGCTTAATATAAAATTATCGGAAAATCACTTCTTGTAAATCTAACCTTTTTGTTTTTAACGATAAGGTTTGAAAACCACATGAAATGATTGTCGGAACATATCTCTGCCGGAACTCGTGACCAAAAAGCACACATAGTCGTGTTGAACTCACCGGGACGCGTAAACAGTAGTCAGAAAAGATCTGACAACGATGAAAGAAATCCCCGGAGGAGAAGAAGGGCAAGAGATCTGGCGGAAATCTTAGATCAATTTCGTTGGCGAGATGAGGATGTGATCCAGATCTGATACATTCGAGATCTACCGTATTTTAGTGAAAATCTGGTGGTTTTGGCGGCTGTCTAGAGCAGATCTGAAGAAAAAGTGGTGGCTCGTCGGAGCAGATATGTCATTGAAGGAGGACACGACGACGACTGTGGCGGTTCACCACAACAACGACAAAGAGGAGGGTTCCAAATCTGAAACTTCGATGACATATTTAAGTTTTATCGCCGATGGTCGGAGGCTGCGACGTGGAGGTGTCGTCGGCGGCGGTAACAGCGGTGAGGCGGTCGTCGACAATGGTGGATGTGGTGGTGTTCATCGGAGATGGTTGAAGGAGGTGAGAGGATATTTATTTTTGGCTCGGGGAGAATAATGAAGAAATGGTATCAGATCTAACTTATATATATATATATATATATATATATATATATATATATATATATATATATATATATATATATATATATATATATATATATATATAGATTCAGGTTCATTTGAAACCATTCTAATTTTGTGAGACCAAATCTAAAAATAATTTTAAAATATAAAATAAATGGAAAAATCCAAAAATTCTTTTTTTAAATATTATTTTCGGAACTTGAATTAACTAAAAAAATATAAAAATAAATAAAAATAATTCCGTTTTTTTTTTAAAAAAAATACGTGAAATATTCTAAATAGAATATTACACTGACATATTCTAAAATATAATTTTAAAATGCAAAATAAATGGAAAAATCTAAAAATTATTTTTTTAAATATTATTTTCTGAACTTAAATTAACTAAAAAAAATAAAAAATAAATAAAAAAAAATTCTATTTTTTTTTGAAAAATACGTGAAATATTCTAAATAGAATATTACACTGTACATATTCTAAAAATAATTTTAAAATGAAAAATAAATAGAAAAATCAAAAAATTCTTTTTTTAAATATTATTTTCGGAACATGAATTAACTAAAAAAATATAAAAAAATAAAAAATAAAATAAAAAAATGCGTCTCACGGTCTCACAAAATATAGATGGTCTCAAATGAACCTAACCATATATATATATATATATATATATATATTAAAGTTGTCAAGAAAAGAAAGAGTAAATTTGCTATTTTTTTTGTAAAATTGGTTTTGTATTATTGTTGGGCTTCAAAATTAGAAATAATAAATTTGGATGTTTTTTAGCAACTTTGCTCTTAATTCTTTATCCATTTTGATACTTTTGATCATTGCAATCAATATTTTTACACTTTTTAAAAACCTTTTAATATTTAAAGTTTAACCACAAAACTTGAACGGTTTGACAACTTTGATCCCTTTTCTAAAAAGTTGTTAATTCCTACCCCTTTAATTTTTTAGTCATTTTGACACTTCTGATCCTTGCAATTAAAACTTTTATATTTTTTCATAAAAACATGAAAAAAAACGGTCCGGAGCAAAGTCCGAGCTTTCCATCCTTGCACTTTCTACGCCTATCATATTTATCGATTCGAAAACAACATTAAAAGTGTCTGCCCCGCATAGCAGGGGTAACCTTTCTAGTTATTATTAATCTTTTATGAATCAAATATTTTATAATTCTTAAACTATAAATGATATTTTATAATCCTTAAACTTTACACTTAAACTTTAGCACCTGTCTTTCAAAAACTAAAATAAAATTAAAAAGTAAAGAAATATTTAAAAAAACAAAAATACACAAAAACATAAATTGAATTAATAAACATTATGGAAAACCAAAAAAAATGCTTTTAAAGAAATTAGAAAAGACAAATAAAGTAAAAAGCATTTAAAATAAGTTTAAATACATTAAAAATAAGAAAATGAAACAAATAAAAACATTAGATTTTTTTTTGAAACGGTGAATCTAACTTACTCCTAAACTCCTCCTTAAATCTACCTATGTCCACGGGACTTCAACCCTCAACCTCAGGAAGGGAGTCAAGTCCGTATTAATGAATTATGTTTAATAGATGTGTCACATGTGATCAAGTCATATTTAAGGACTGGTTTGACATTGATACCCAAAATGAAATTGATGTTCGAAAATTGTCTCAAACAGTTTCCGTCCAACCGTATTCGGACCTCATATTTGGAATTGTATTCGGACCTTATATTTAAAAATGTGCGTTAATATGTATTCATATGCAAAACTACATAGTGCTTCTAAAACTCAATGATTGATAAAAATCGAGAAACAACACGGTTTCAATAGCTGCTACGGATAAGCATGGTGCAACTTTAAGACAAAACCGAAACGCATACCGCATAAGACATAATTCCATAACACATAAAAGATTTTCGTGCAAATTTCGGTTTATTCTTACCATTTGCCTTCATCTCCTTTCTTTATGGGTCTATCAAATTTCTCCTTAAATCGATTAGATGTAAATCTGAAATCATGTATTCATTTCTAGAATCGACAGAATGAAATAATATTCAAGAGATTTCAATCATGTTTTAGGTGCTGTTTGTTTTTTTAAGTCAAAATGTCTGCAGTCTGCGGACCACATCTGCAAGCCTCTGCGGCAGAAGAGATGGACAAAATGTCTGCAGTCTGCAATAAGAAGACTGTTTGTTTTTAACGTCTGCGGGCCGTTAAAATAAATTGAATTTTTAAACTTAATTTCATGTTATAAACATTAAAAAGGCATTTTTTAACAAAAAAATGAAAGAAAAAAAAAATGCACGATGGTCATTTTTTTTTTGGTTTAGGTTAAAATGAGGTCTGAAGACCTTTGAAGACAGTGGCTCATGTCTGCACCAGGAAGACCTCGCGCAGACGTTTTTCTGATCTGCGCACTTCCAAAAAACAAACAATCTGCGAGGGCATACGTCTGCGCGTTGTCTGCACGGCGCAGACAAAAGTGATTGCGCTGATCTTCACACAAAAAACAAACAGCCCCTTAATGGCAATCGTTTTAACTTTTAGGCACATCATCTATTGTTTTTGTTTTATGCAATACCATCAACTGAAAAGCCAGACCATAACATCTAATGAATATACGTAACAAGTTCTACCTTTTAACATAAACAAAAGCTACATTGTTCACTAAACAATATCCCACCAAAATTTAAACCTTACTAAAACCATAGATTTCCAATTGACCCAAATTGAAACAAGACAAGATTAAGCCTACTAACAAGTAAATCACCATAATCTCCATATAACCAAACCATAAACAAAAAGCACAGCAGAGTGTCGAAATAGAACCTTTGCTATACATGATTTTCCACCATCTTTTTAATCAACTCTTGGAATAAGCTCTTTCATTCTCCACCTTCTGTGCAAAAACCTTTGTTGCGACCATATTATCATCAAAATATCTGGTATAAGGATGTCCCTTAGGAACAAGCCTTCTGTACTTTTCAAAACTCTTCTCAGCATCATCGTTCTTTCCTAACAATGTGTATATAATGCCTTGACATAAATAGGGCCTAAAATCTCGAGCCTCTTCTTTGGATAAATCCTGATAAATCTTTAAAGCATCGTTATAATCGCCTTGGATTACACGAATTTGAGCTAACAGAAGCTTGAAATCCCTCAAGTCATCTTTCTTCTTTTCTTTCTTACACTTCTCCATTCCCTCGATGATTCTTTTCTCCACATCTTTCAGATCATTAGGTGATTCTTTAGCGGAAGCAGCCATTACTAAACCATGGTAAGCCTCCACGCGTAAAGGATCTTTTGCTAGAATCTGTTCAAACCCTAATTTCGCAGAATCATGATCTCCGCTGTATGAATGCAAATGATACTTGAGTAATTGCCATTCGCTGTCTTCAGGTTCCAGGTTAATCAGCTGACTGAGAATTCCAATAGCTTCATGAACCTTTCCGTTCTTAATTTTCAATTCCATTAGGGATTTCAAAGCGTTGATGTCTTCAGGGTGAGAGCAGAGATGTTCTTCTAGGTTTTTTTCCTCTTCTAGTGATTCGGAGTTGGTATCGGAGGTTTCTACGGTGGCGGGAGGTGGAGGTGAAGAAACAGGAACGGCAATTGCGGGTTTGAGGGTAAAACGCGAGAAGCAAAGTGCGCTGACGGCGACACCAGTGATGAAGGTGGTTTTGAGGAAGGATAATGGGGTAGGGTTTACGATTTTTGTCACTTCAGGTTTAGGGGTTTGGTAGTTAGGGTTACGGAAGGATGCTTTGATGGGTGTTAACGATGAAAACGATGTTGTTTTCAGGAAAACGATGGATTTCGACGAGGGGCGGCGGTGATGTTGAAGGGAGAGCGGGCGTGGGAGGTGACGGTATGTTGCATTTGTAAGAGCCAATTCCATTGGTTCGCTAGGTGTGGTGTTTATGGTGGTTGTTGTGGCGACGGCAATGGTGGCGGTCGTTGAGAGGGAGAAAGGGGAGGCTAAACCCTGGTAGCGGCGAGAATGGTGAAAGTGAAAGTGTCAGAATATGCTTTGAAGATATAAACCCCAGAATGTTTTTACGTTTTAAGCCCTTCTAATTTTGAAAATCAAAAAACTGAATAATAGTGTGCACATTGAGTAAGATATCTCCACTAAGGGGTGTTTGGATAGGAAAAAAAAAAATGTTTATTGCTTATTCCCACAATAAGTTAATTTAAGTGTTTGGATAAAATTCAGTTTATTAGATTAAATAAGCTAATTTTAATAAGCATCTCTCCCCACTCCTCATGCTTATTGTTTATTACTTATTCCCACCACAAATAAGTTATACGCAATAAGCTAAAAATCTAATCTAAACACCCCTTAAGTTTAATGGACTGACCCGTATACATTTCATTCACTACAATTTTATTCATTAAACTCTACACTTCATTAAACTACACAATTTAGGGGGTGTTTGGATAAATAAGTTTTGGCTTATTAGCTTATTGTTTATTTGCTGGGAATAAACATTTTTTTAAGTGTTTGGATTATTTTATTGTAGTGGGAATAAACAATAAGCAATAAGTATTTTTAAGTGTTTAACAAACAAAATAGTTTATATGAGTAAAATGACCAAAAAAAATTCTTTTTATATGTTAACATATTTTTCTTATTCAAACAAAATATATTTTTTTTAAACAATAATAATAATTTTCTTATTCATAAGAACTAAAAAAAACATTTACCACATTATTTTGACACCTATTTTTAACTTGATCGGATACACCTATCGAAATTTCATTCCAAAACCATAGGAGACCACAAATTTCATTCCAAATCCATATTATCCAAAATATCCAAAATAGTTTCATGCTACTACATTAAACCATAAAATGAAAATACTAAATCGTTTCAAAACAAATCATACGTCGTTACGTGCACGAGTGTTTGACCTTGAGAATATTTGTCCTGCAATCATATCGCGTACTGCAATCATATACATATCGTCACTTCTACGTTGTGTACTTGATACTTCGTCGTGTGGCTCAACACCATCATCAGGTCCTTCATCATTGCGCGGAATATAAGATTCTTCTTGTGCTATTTGAAATGTTGCATCACCACTACCACTTATTATAATGTAATTATGAATTGCCATTGAAGCTAGCATAATTTTAACTTGCGTCTCGAAGTTGGAATTTACATGCATATCTCTTAGTAACACCCATTGAGCCTTCCAGACTCCAAAAGTTCGTTTAATTACATTGCGAAGTGATGAATGATAATAGTTAAATTTTTCTTTGAAGCCTTTTGGTTCCCGCGAGGCACAAGTCTGTCCACATCGAAAATCAGGAATATGATAACGGATGTTTGAACCTTTGTAGGGAGAAAGATAACCTTTTGTATTAGGAGATCCGACATCCACAAGGTAAAACTTACCTGTAGAGGTAAAAAAAAGAAAATGATTGTTATTCATTTATACGGTTTGAAAATATAAAACTTCTATTAATAAGTAATGATACTAACCATCGGCTGGAAGTGGAAACTTAACTTCACGTCTCCTTCGCACTTCATTGAAAATTATCGTGTCATGTGCAGTCCCCTCCCATCTAGCCCACACAAAGGTAAAGCATATGTTGAAATCACATGTTGCCATAATATTTTGAGTAACACAATTCTTTTGTCTAATGTATTTGATTTGCTCACGTTGCGGAACAAAGGTCTTCATGTGTGTTCCATCGATGGCACCAATACAATCTTACAAATTCAAAAAATATAATAAGTTACCAATTATTTTTACAATTACACAAATTCACCAAATAACATAACTTTGCAAAAAATAAGTACCTTGAAGTATGATAATACCGAGGGTTATTTAAAATGTATTCTAGTATAGTTTCGTTGTAGTTAGCATTTGGTATGATGATGTCCTTACTTAGGTTAACCACATCATCCAAGACTTTATGAATATCTTTATGGATTGTATCCCCAAAATGGTTAAAGAACTCTTGAATTAACCGATTTCCACATCCATGCGCTAAGTACAACATGAAAATACCAACGGACTCTTCAATAGATATACGACGTGATTTCTTTAACCCATAATGTGCAACAAGATCCCTACATAACATGTTGAAAACCGGGACTTGTAATCTGAAAAGTTGATAACATCGGGTCTCATGATCGTTAAGTATTTCATTGATAAGCATGCCTCCTGTGCGCGTGAAGATGAACGGCGACGGCTACGTATATATTTCAATTTATGAGTCAATAGTAACTCTTTGACAGCAAGCCCATATAAAAGAAGTGTTTGAATCTCTTCATTTTCTTCAATTTCATCACGTAAGTCATCACTGTCATATAAGTCGTCACTTTCACAGTTACTGGCCATGAATATAACCTGTGACTAAACGAAAAAGAAACTAGGGTAAGATTGAAATTTACCACATACTAGATACAATCATGGCAACATCATGCAAAAGAAAACGACAGCAAAATCATGGGGCAGGGACAAAATTGACCATAAAACACAACATGAAACGACATCAAGTAAAACAAACACAAAAAATCCATTTAAATGTAACATAATAGATGAAAGGATAGGTCTAACACATGACAACCGTTTAATGTCTTCCTAATACATAAAATCATTGAAAAGGAAACAAAAACAAGATCATGGGATAAGGGTAAAGTTGACCACAAAAGTAGAGTATGTCTAACAAATTACATAAAATGATAGGGCTAAAACGTGACATAAAAGTAGACTACGTCTTCAACTACTTCTCTTTCTCTATAAGCCTCTTGAGAAACTCCATCTTTGTTTCATTAGTCTTTGGAACCATAAATGTAGCACCTGGTTCTTGGTACGTATTCTGTTATTAAATCTTTAATTATTTTTCAATTTTGGTCTTGGACTTGGCGAGTTGAAGGACCAACTCGTCGAGTAGAAGCGGGATGAGGCGCGGAGTTTAAGTCATGGACTCGTCGAGTCGGGTCCCGGACATGGCGAGTAGCTGTTGTCTGGACTAAAACCCTAATCTAAGGGTTTGCACCCTATTTAAACAACCTTATGCATCCTCTATTCCCCCTTTATGCTCCCAAACACTTCTCATCGAAACCCTAGCCTTTTGTGCTTTGTTGAGGCCATTTTTGGTGTTCTTGTGTGATAGTAAAGCTTGGAAGGAAGAAAGGAGCTTGGAACTTGAGTTGGGGACAGTAGATTTAGGGAGTTTACTTCATCTTCAGCAACTTCATGGTATAATGCCCCTGTCTTGGCTCATCTATGTGTTTATTCATCTTTAGCTTGGGATTTCTTTGGATTGCTAAGTCAAATTTCGATATTGGGAGTGTAGGGTGGGTTTTGACTTCAGATCTGGGCCTTAAGAGGGCTTTCATGGCATAAAGGTGCCAACTTTAGGGCCATGAAATCCCCATGCACATTGTAGGACACCTTATGTAGATTTTTGAGCTAAGAACCCCATGCATGTGCATCAAGTTTGGAACTTTACGTATGAAGTGGACATTAGGAGGCTAGATCTATGGTTTTGGTGTGTTAGATCCCATTTGAATCAACTGTAAGGAATTGGTCAAGACTGAACTTGACGAGTGCATTCTTGGACTCGGCGAGTCCAAGGCAATCTCCTTAGAACTCGACGAGTTGTTCATCAACTCGACGAGTTGAGGACAGATCTGGTTCATCAAATGAAGGCTAACTCGACGAGTTGTTCATAAACTCGGCGAGTCGGATGAGTTTTCATGGGGCGTTCGGATGAGAGAAGAACCCGTCTAGTTGACGACCCAACTCGACGAGTAGGGTCGCGGATGAGGACAAGTAGAGAGTGAGGGACTCGTCGAGTTGTTGTCCCAACTCAGCGAGTCGGTTCAACTGAAAGTTGACTTTGACTTTGACTTGACTTGTTTGGGGGTAAAAGGGTCATTTTACCCTAAGAGTATAGAAATCGGTTTCTAACCAAGTGTTTGTGGGGTTTGTAGCCGGAGGATTTCCGGAGCAACAGCGGACGGAGGTTTCCCGTACTGATTATCAGCAACTACCTGTACGAGGTGAGTTACCTTCCAGTAAGGGTGGATCTAAGGCCACAGTGCCGACCCACCACTGAGAAGTATTTAGAAGATGATTGTCTTTGTGATAATTATCTTGGTCTGGTATGTGCTTGGTTATGAGTTATATTTGTATGATGTGTTACGTTCATGGTAGGGATAGTGGTCCTTAGGACTAAGGGGTAGATCAGTACCCGAATATGCATGACTGTATGCCTATATCTTGTTATTGTATGCTAGTGGTAAGGGGTGGAATAGTCCCCAGTTACCGGTTGAAAGATACCAATGATGATTATTGATTGAAAGATACCGATGACGATTACCGGTTGAAAGATAACGATGATGATTACCGATTGAAAGATACCGATGATATTGTATGGTATGTGGTATGATGGGGGAACTCACTAAGCTTTGTGCTTACGGTTTTAGTTTTTGGTTTCAGGTACCTCTTCGTCTAAGGGGAAAGAGCTAGCGGCATAGCATGGCATACTTGATTTTATGAGATGATGTGTTTATACAATATTTGGTTTTAGTTTTTGATTTTATGAAATGACGGCATAGCTAGCAGCATAGCATGGCATACTTGGTTTTAGTTTTTGGTTTCAGGTACCTCTTCGTCTAAGCTTTGTGCTTACGGTTTTAGTTTTTGATTTCCGCACGGTGTTTTATGGGATTGTACTCTGATATGATATTTGTTTATGTTGTGGGTTTCAAACATGATACTTGATTTTATGAGATGACGTGTTTATAAAATATTTTTCTAGTGAATTTTTTATGAGTTAATTAATTAAAAATAAAATTTTTGGACTTGAATTTTTGGGATGTTACACCAAGTATCTCAGGGGATTTCCATCCCATAACTCTATTGACCTTCCAGTCCGTGCCATCCTGACCTTCCGGTCCACATCATCATAATCATATCATAACATATCACATATACAACATACATCACATATTCATCATACACATAAGACCTTCCGGTCACACATAATTACCCCATCGGGTAAGGCATAGTAAGAAGACTCACCTCGAAGATGTCGGATAAACACTCATGCTCAATCTTCCGACCTAGCTTCCTCCTACAACATAATACATCTCTAATTATTACATCCTTGACTTAGTTTGACTGATACCCTTAAATTAACATAAGTCAACTCTGGTCAACGTTGGTCAACAGCCAACTCTTGACCTAACTCGTCGAGTCATGCACCGACTTGGCGAGTTCATACGTGAACTCCAATTCCTTAAATCCGATCTGACTCACCGAGTCACCCAGCCAACTCGGCTGGTCACCAACTGACATGAGTCACGGATCAACCCGGTTTGACTCGTCGAGTCTACTTATGGACTCGGCGAGTCCATTCCATACTCAAACAAAAATGACCTTATGAGGTCATATTTGTTCCTCTAATCCATAGATATGTCCTTCCCAAGCTCAATAACCACATAAATTCCGAACCTTGACACTCATGCAACCTCCATATGACTCAATTTGATGAAATAGATTATAAAATGGCATTCTAGGTTCATTTCCTCCATGAAATAACATAAAGCATGATTGATAATGCTCTCTGGACCTCTAAAGGTCCAGATCCAGAGTCTAACACCCAAAGGGGCAACTTATATATCATTACAAGCAAATAAAAGGGTTGGGAAAACCCTAGATTCAAGGTAATTAACAATTACACGAGATTAAGCACATATCAATACCTCTAACAGCTCTATTTGACCAAAAGATAGTAGATCTAAGCTCCTCAATCCTCCTAGCATGCCCTCCTTCCTTCTCTATTGCTAAAACGCTCAGAAATGATGAATTAGCCTTCCTCTTGCTCCACAAACGATCTCTCTGCCCTCTAGGGTTTCTCAGGGGTGAAGTGGTCGCAAATAACGGCCATAAGGGCCCTTAAATAGGGCTCAGGCCCTGAGATTTAGGGTTTCACATTACAGCGCAGACTCGTCGAGTCCACCCATCTACTCGTCGAGTCCCTTCATTAATCCAGTCAACCACTCACGATCCTACTCGATGAGTCTAGGAATCGACTCGTCGAGTCCCTCCTCATGACTTCAAAAGAAGTAATCAAATTAACATGCCTGTAAATCCGGATGTTACACAACTCATGTATGGATTGCTCCCGAGCCCACACCCTTTCTTTCCCACAACTTATGACTGGCTTGCTCTCAAGTTTGTTGGCTTCCACACATAGTAGTATTGCCTCAACCCACTCATATTATGTCGACATATGCAATAGATAAAACATTTAACATCAAACAGAAAATCATGCCGATCTTAGCATATAACTACAACATAGCAACATCCTAAACCAGGATACATAACCTACTAGACCGATATTGGTGCCTTCGACCCACAAGTACAATAAGGAAACTCACCTCACAATATGAAAAGATAGTTGGACAGATCACTGCTCTAAATACTGTCTCTACTGTTCACCTACACAAATATCAGAGCCTTAAACTCCAATTACCACTTGAAATACCCAAAATTACCCCAAGTCAAACTTGGTTAAAGGTCTAAGTTAGAAAGTCAAAAGTCAAAGGAAGTCAAAGAAGACTGAGTACGCCATGTATACTCAATCACTATGCTGGGCGTAGTCGAAACTATTCCAATCCTACAAGGCCTTAGCCCAATACGCACAATGTTCCTCTTGGTACGCTCAATGTACTCCATATGATCCTACTTCTCTTCATCAAGAGATTATTTCATTAAGACTTTACGTCTAAACTCAGATCTAGACCCAAGTTATCATTCCAAGTCATAATGTTTCCACCTTTTATGACTTTTCATGGCTATAAGTGGTCGTAAAACTAAAACCCTAACTTAATATCCAACAAAACATCATAACTCTTGCATGGAGGGGATAAACGGACCAATGACACATTTTTATGGTTCTTAGCACTTAAAAACATCTGAAAGGACAACTCTTATGGTTAGAGTCAGCCATACTCATGAACACCAAAACTACATGACTAAAATGCATAAAACTTATGAACTAACAAGATCCAAATAGAACATTCATCAAGCATCTAACTTTATACCTTATAGAGGTTGTTTTTAAGGTGGGAGTTACATATATACAATTGCTTAAAGCTTCCAAGACAACTCCACCGCCTTCTTCTTCCTTCAATAACACCA